ATATATATATATATATATTGTTGGGTTCAAACACGTGATTTTCGGAACGATGTCTTTCTCACCAACCACATTTTGCTTGCTTTCTGTGCACTGAAAGAAAAATTAGAATAACTGGTCTAAGAGAACTATCTGCTCAAAGGTAAAAACGGGACTATTCGACTCGAATGACTATGGTTGGATTGCATACAGTGCTTTCACTGCTGCTGATCAACAAACCGACCTTTAGATATCTTAAAGTACCTTACCACGATTACCCTGCGCTCAGTTCGTGCACTTCTATCAATATCAAAGTATTTCTTACCTGTAGAACAGATTTTTCCACTGTGTGCCTATTGCGAAAGAACAGTGGCACATCGGTGAACGGTTAAAACGTGATGTACATTTACATGTTCTCACAGGTGATGCAGCAAGATGATAATGCTCTTTATATCACAATGTGCTTCTCGACATTCTAATGCGCTTACTGTGTGTGATTGATGGAACTGTGAAACAGAACCAAATTGTGCCCAACATAAGTGACGCGGACCCGGTAGTAGAGCCGATATCAATGTCAGCAGGGAAGGAAACAGACCGCGGAGTTCAGCGGTAAGCACGAATGGTTCTTACGCTTAACGGAAGAAATCCAGGTGACAGATAACGCATGCTTAGTTCAGTTGAGTTGATTTACTCCTGTGCCATTTGTGGTACTGTTTCGTTTCTGATGATCGATCTACCATGACAGGTATTGGTTTACTACCGGAATAAACTATCTAAACACAACAGTATGTATGAGGCTATTTTTCACAGTGTGGCTGAATGAATTTCGTGATGCACTTTAAGCATGCAGAAATACAGAATTTATTTGTGCTGGGAGCATTTATTGCCGGAAAAGAGATGATATCGATTGAATTCACATTACAGCCTGGTTCAGACCAGTAGCATCTAATCATATTCAATAAATTCTCATATCATGTCTGACCATCACCAGTGGATCTTTTGTTTCCGATCAAATCTATTGCCTGAAGTCATCTGCTTCCCATTCTATAATTTGTTTTGATAAATTTTGCGAACACTTTCAGTTCTAGTCAGTCAGTTATTGTGGCAGTGACAGTGATGACTGCAGCGGCAGCGTATACTGTTATGGTTTCAGTTGTGTCGTGTCTCTTTGCATTCCTGGAAGTGTGTGCGTGTGTATGTTTTCTGTGCTGAATGCATTTTTCTCCCGCGATGAACATTTTTCCAGATAGCTGGAACAGAGCCTTGGATAATTGTTTCCTCTTGTTGGGCGATGTTCGTAATTGAGCAATCATAAAATTACAGGTTGGTTAACACGCGTGTTCATGGTATTAGATCAACTGGTAACATGTGTCAATTTCACACCTCTGGGATCGAAAATGTTTGACGTGGGCGTTGAGGATTTTATTCATAATAAGTAGCACATGATTCACTAGGCAAAATTTTCTTTCACGATCGGTTTAGCGGTTCTTGCAACTCGTCAGGCATGCGTGTGCGGCAATCTGTCGTCCGTTTATTCATATACTTGTACCTAGGAACTGTATTTTCATCACGATAACCTTATTTGCAACACCGCACAGTATATAGTATATATATATATATATAATATGTGTGGGCATTGATCAAACTAGTGCGACATCGCTCTCATATGGTAATTACATCAAATTTCCCAATGTCATACTTGTATATTGATGGTCATGGGTAAAGTGTACTTATTCCTGATTTTATATCTTATTTCCATCTTCTTCGTTCTCTTCTATGACCGTGTAGTGTGCCCGATTGTACGGTGAAAGGCGGACAATAGCAGATATTTGCCGGACACAATTTTTCCTCCATAATCTAAATGTGTGTGCAATTTTTACTTCAGTACCAACGCTATGTCACATTTGTTTTACAGCATCGCTAACAGCTGCCTCTTTCCGTGTCAGGATTTTCACTATTGCTTTCGATCCGTTTGCACATTATCGCACTCGTCGGTTTTTGTTACCTTCGCTCTGAGGCAATTTCTCGTTAGCAGGTACCGGTACATTCCCTGTGTAACGGTATCTCAATACACGTCTACAGCAAGCAAAACGCTTCTGATTCGACCAGTGGTAACTGGGTTGTTTAGAGTCCAGGGTTCCCTTCTGAAGTTCGCCACGACCGACCGTGTTTGACGGGCTTCAACCGTTTGAATTCGTGTGACCTTGATTGTCGCGATAAAATGTGAAATAATTCGAAAGTTACAGTGCAGATTTCAAAAGTAGGCAAAGCAACAAAAAAATTTTAATCTTTCTGATAAATGATTCCTGGTTTGTGAGAGCGAAGGCATTCAGTGTAGAGTAACTAAGCCAATTATTGCAAGTTTTCTAGCTTAAATAAACTGATCGATTATTTGGCCACAAACTACTTACTCAAAATTCGTAATACTGAACGAACTAAAGGTTTAATCCAAGGAACATGCAAGTTGACCTTGAGTTGTGCGGCTCGTCGAGTAAGCGTCTTGAAGTGTGTCACCTTGCCGAAAACGAATGAAACATCCAAGAGATTTTGGCATATAATGGGAGCCGCGAGGCAACTAAATCGAGAGGCACACAAATCCGATGATCCAGTTCTTGACTGATATAAGTGCTTTGAAGTAAAAATTAGATCAATTTACTGCACAGTTACCAGTATTTCTCCGTCAAAACATCAACCAAAAGAGAGGAAAAGCCAATCATATATGTATGTATATTTATTAATATATAAGTGTATATATGTATATATATTTTCGTAACAATAACCTTGTTTGCAACACCGTTTGCTTCCAGGAAAATTTTGTCCAGTCATTCACATACTACTTCTTATGTATATATATGTATATTTGGATTTCTTGCCAGATTGAATGCGCTCATCCAGGCGTATAAATCGCCGTTGAAGCCGTTGTATGCGTACCATACGGGTCAGTTTGATCTTCACAAAAAGTGAATCGTTTTCCTTACTGTTCATGCATTCCTATTGTTTTTTTATGACTGTCCTTCGTTTCCAACATGAGTTCTCCATTGTTTTTACGGAGATGGTCCCAACCCAAAGATGATAAACCTTTAAGAATGATACCGATTCACTGAGCGCTTATAGAGTAGACTACTTTCGTAAGGGTACAACCTCCGTGTGCCTGGTAGTTTGCAGAGCATCGTCGTCGATTTGTAGTTTAAAACCGCTAATTCACATAATGCGACTAGAGATAACCCTATGAAACTTGTTTGCACTGAATCTTGATTTCACAGACCTCAGTTAATTCATCCATACCTTTTCCTCCTAAGTGAGTGAAGATTTAGATTGGTCATCTACCATTCATCACATTTTCCCTTTTTCCCAGACCAGATATTGCCTCTTTTCTAAACATTGTTTCTCTGCTGTCATATGGCGCTCATATTCTCGTGTGATACCGCCATTTAGAGCGTAATCCCAATAGATCAACCCTAGTCCGATTAACTATATCCTAGGCTTGAATGACAGGCTTGGAATACTGTGTTTCGGTCAGCCCTGAATCTATCTAGTGAAAATGTATTTCCCGGTGATCTATACAAAACCCAACAACAAATGGTTAACATTTCTGTATTCGATAAGCAATTCCTTCTGATTGGTCTATTTATCAATCTTTCTCTCTTCAACCTTTGCTCAATGTTGTTTTGATGTATGCAAATAAGGAACATGGATTTTGAGCATCCGCTACCAACTCAATAAGGAGAATGGATAATTGCAACGGATCTAGCACTGAGTCCTGAGTTTCTACACTGGCTACCTTTTCTGTCGGGTTGATGAGCAACTGTACAATCCAGTTTATGACATTTCCTGACCTGTGAATACAGTGCATTTTGCATTCCAGCCGTCTGTAGTTCAATAAGTGCAAGTAGGAATAGACTGAGCCCACCCAATTGCTTGGAACTATAGTCTTTGGGTGATCTGGTCTAACCGAGTTCATTCACCTATCCACGTAAATGGGTGATGATCACCCTCGGGGCCGGGGGTCGGGATGGGAGGCAGTCGGAGTGGCTACCTAGTTCCACCACGGGAGTATCCTTTGTCGGTCCTCCGCGCGACTCAAGGCTGGTTCGATATTGAAGGTCAATACAAATAGGCTCTCTCTCCCTATCGACTACTTACACATGGTGTACATGTGCACATAACCCGTCCATGAACTGCAAGTGAGCAATACAGATCACATGAGTAAAAACTTGGTCTATTGATATTACAGTGTTATATTCACAAAATAAAATCTTACGCCCACCGAAGAAGTGTGATTGATGTTGCATGTGTGTCTGTGTGTCTGTCTGTCTGTGAGAATGTGTGCATATATATAAGTAAATATTTGTATATATGTGTTTGTCTGTATAGATGCAGCGGAATATATATTTTTAATACTGTGGGGTCAATTAGAAGAAACAAAATCAAGCGATCACATGCTACACGTCAACCAATCCAGTATTAGACCAGACGCATGGGGATGAATTGAATGCGTGGCAAGGGAAACCAGGGAGAGGGAGCGTTGGAACTATGTTACATACAGAGTGATGTGTGTATGAATACAGGCGAATTCTGCAAAGATCTTTGTTGACTGGTATACTGATGCGTACGTACCTCCTAATGAGTTGATTCATGGAAGCCCGAAGATGGAACGTTTTTGCAAAACAATTGTTCAGTACCATTTTGATTAGAATTCGAGGGACACAGAGATAAGGAGATGGTGTGATAGGTCATTGAAGTAGGTGAATCGATTGGATCCAGTTGTGGAATGCATTAGGACCGTGACATCCCAATAGACGATTACTGTTGTTACCCTCTCCTTGTGAATTACAAACCAACTGAGGCCAGGGTGAACGAATACTCCCCCCTCCCCAGCACACAGATAGCGTTTGATCATTGTCGTCGTCAGGTGATCGGGAAGAGAAACAAATGATAGGAAATCATTTGAGATGACGGATTATTTGTTTTGTTCGTTTTATTTGTGCGATAGCCAGTTTTCGCATACTTCATACGCTGCGCGTTTATTGAAATTGCAGTTTCGGGACTGTCGTCTGTAACGACAAACAGAGAATCGATCACGACATACCACCTCATTTGGATTGGGACTGTGAGCCACGTAACACGTGTCTGATCGATTGTGATACTGCGGATCTAGACGAAGAACTCGTTGAATCTGAGATAGAGTGGGACGAACGAGAGAGAGAGGAACGAACAGTGGTAAGTGAAAACCGGAAGTATGCTCGTTATTCACACGTTTTTACTCCTGACAACAATTAATAAGAAATCGTAATCCCAGCTGATCGTTCTGAAACGATTTGTACTAATTGGGCCCATAACTGGCGAATGTCTGACTTTCAAGAATAAGCGAAAAGGAAATAATATAGCGAACAAGCTTGTTTCCATAACTTCGCGTTCAGGCATTTACAGTTATATGTGTGTTTATAGCCAATGTAGAAATAGATGTGATTGGTCCATTGAGGTTAAGTATGAAAATACAACAATGTCTGTCAAGTTGAATCAGAGCTAGTGGATAAAATTCGGCCACTGGGCGAGAGGGGGGACAAAGGTCAGTTCTAGAATTTGCCGATGACCTTTTCATGTGCAATTTGTCACGCCTTGTTGCGCCATCACAACATGACTGAGGTCATGGTTCGGGTCATCACGTAGGTTTGGTTGGGGCCAAGGCAACTGGAGTGCGGCAACCATCTTCTTCTGTTTGCATATTGGTGGTGTTGGATATAGTGTTTGCCTTTTGATATTGCAAATACTTGGTTTTATCTAGATTTTCTGAATTGTGAATAAAGATTCTTTTTATGACCGGCAACTACCGTCCAAAATTAGTTAGTGGCACCTTCTGCTGATAACTCCAAACGCATTAGTCATCACAATATAAAATCTTGTTTCTTTTGTATATTACTAAGATAGCTGAACTTTAGAACAAAGCTTTTTATGAGGCTGGTCCTCCCTCTCCGAAATTACCAATTGTACAGTTCGAACTGGCCCATATATAGGTAAGTTTTCTGAGAATCACGATACACTTTTATTTCCGATTCGAAAGTACAGGACGATGTTCATGTTGTACTAGAGATCACACTTTTCTGTCCGTAAAACAATAGTTCCTAATCCAGCGTGATATTTTCCTCCATTGAGTTATCGGTCAGGGTTTTCAGACAATGCCAAATTTTCAGAACTCCTACAATATATGGTCGATTAATCTTATCTTAGGATTCTATTCTGTGAATTCCGGTGGACTCTACGGAAAACCTGTCAGAGCAGCTGTCAGCTTACATGCTAACTGGTGGATTCCATTTGTTCCTGTAAGGGACGCAAAAGAGCAGTGTGAACTCATATTTGAGTGTGAGCTGTACAAAAGCTAGGCGGTGTCCGAGTGCATAGGTTTCTGGACTTTTTACATGTTCAACACAATGGTTATAAGTTTGATTCTTTGGATTCCGTAGGATGTTCTTTACATTTAAACATGATAGACTTTTGCCAATGAAGTATGGTAATTCCTGAATTCGGGCACATGTGTTTCTGCCTGAATTGTTTTTGTGGACTGACCCCGAGGTGAAAGGGAAGTTAATTCCGTATCGCTCCGCTCGTTTCCATTCTATTTCTGTGATCATAAGAGATGCTGCAACCCGTTCTCCATCTCATTACAATAATACTGAAGGAGTTGTTCACTTTGCTTATTTAAGATTTCCCACGAATGTGTTATGAACTTGTGATTTTAGTCAAGGACAGGCAAACCCAGTTCCATGAAATCACTCCATCATGGCCCCTTTAGGCTGACTCGCAACGTCCCAAACCTTTTATGAGCTTAAGATCAAAGATTGCTGTGGCATCGGAGTAAAACTGATCTTGCTGTTTATACGATATTCAGCTGTTGGTCATTCCATCAGTTCTTTCAGTTTAGAATAGCATCGTGATATATTTGGAGTTTGATTAGCATCAGTGCAAATCAACTCAATGTTTATCGTACATTTTTAAGAGAGGAATGTGGTATTTCTTCCATATTAACCATCTAACATATTTACACACTTCGTACTCCCAGATTCACCCACCTAATTTGTGTTCTGTGAGCTACTCGTGAGTGTAAAATGGCTAATCTTGGATAACACTGTAACAATAAATATTTTTACCCACCCACCCATACATTAAACAGTCTGTTAAAATTCCGAAATCCGGCGTCACGTTTTTTTGTTATAGACAAAATTAATCAGCGTCAAGTAGCTTCGTTTCCGTGTTCTTTTGTCTCGTTGGGCGATGCCAAAGGATGCACGTTTTTCGCAAAGCAGGGATAACTTGGTCCATGGCGTAGTCTAAATGTCTTTGGGAACATATATTACACACATGTCAATGCAGACTAAGATCGGATTTGGTATTTATTTTTCAGTGGACTACCATTGCAAATTCAGACCGTACAATGACCAGGAAATCTGCAACTGACCGGAAAACACTTGACATTTGGGACTGGGGAAGTCAGCTCTTTCTTTAAAAAACAGAGTTTAAATATGAGGACAGGACGCCGGTTAGAAATATCTGGTGGATAAATAAAACCTGGCGACTTTTCGTAAGACGTTGATCGATTCGGTACAAAACTGCAATAAGCTGGAAGCAAGATAGGGGAATATCGGTAATTTTATTGAAGTGCCCCTAGAAGTAGGTCAATTGATTCAGGAAGTATTTTAATTCTCTTGTGAAATAAAGAGTACACATTTAGCTACGTTTATCTACGAGTATGCGGACATTTCAGAACCGTTTTGTATTATCCCAAAAGCTGTATTAATTTTAACGATCAAAATATCGATCTGTGGTTTGCCTGTGACAACCGTAGGAGAGAAAGTTTACCACTGATGCCACAAAGATCCATGAAGACAATAAAAATCATGCCATCCTAACCCGTTTACGCTCGAGTACTTGTGTCATTAATTCCCCCTTTGTCTGATTCAGTTATGAACCAAATAGACGTGAATTAAACGCTATCTGTTTACCGACATGTAATTTTTTTGAATTATTAAGTAATTCCCACAAATCCACTTAATGTTTTGTTTCCAATTATTTTTCGCTTTTCCGTTATATTTTGTCTCCCAAACAATTTAGTCATCCCGTAGTCGTACAGCTTTATTATTGTCATAATTGAAAGACTCGTTATGTAGAAGGTGTTAACTATAAAGGCAAAAGGAACTTATAGAAATCGTTAATCAATAACTCGAGCTTCCTTGAGGGTGTTGTGCTTTCCCATGCTCATTTCTAGCAATTATCAGGGTCTTAACCTTTAATTCCTCTCCAGGCCACGATCTTTCACTATACCGATGATGTAGACCTCTGTCAGGCTGTCCCAAACCCAACTGAAATGGCAATTTTCTGTCAGTGTACTGCAGTTTCCGAATAATCTAGTCTTTATCATAATAGTTTTAAGTGTTTCGAATGTGTACAGTCATCTCATAATCAGACCACAACACCAAATTGAAATGGACGTTCTGTGCAGAAATCTATCCCGTTCCCGTCATAGTTTCTTGGTCTGTTTGGAAACGATTTTCTTCTTCATTTCGTGCTCCGGACACTCACTATCATACTAATCACTGTTCATACGTAGTTAGTCTAACTATAAGGGGTCTATCCGGGGTTCGTGAGTCGTAACACTGACCGATGAACTGTTGAGGAAAACGGAAGTAAATTAATTGGGGTAAGGTCAAACATACCATAAATTTACTCATTCCCGGTATTTAGTAAGAGTATTCATCAACTGATTTTAACATGTGGGGAAATTGAGTAGTCCTGTCCTTGAAAGGGAAACTCATGGTGCTGCCTCATTGGAGCTATTGGGAACCCACGAGGTCTAACGAACACAATTACCATCCTGGTGGAGTGAAAATGATTCGGAGCGAATCATGTATATGTACATAATTAAATGTAAAATACGGTTAGGCAATGGTTGTTCTGTTCAAAACTAAGGGGAAATTTGAGAACAGAAACAAATTGAAAATATGTTCGGTGGAAAATTATTTCCCAATGGGAAGTACAATACTAACGGGTTTTGGAAGCACCGAATATTCAGCACCCAAAAAATGCACGGTGTTTCTCATGTGAAACCGTGTAGTGCATGTACTCTGGACTGTGACCGTCAAGCAGTAAAAGTGACCAAATTATTATCCCGGGGGTCGTGAGTTCGAATCCTAACCTCAGTCACCACCCACCCCCTCACCCCCGCATTTTCTATATGTTCTAGGGAAGCCTTCTGATTAACCTCTCACGTTTCAGGAAAATGTATGGCAGTAAACTGGATAAAAATACGTAAAGTTAAAAAATACATTGATCTTGCGAAGCTGAGCTTACTTGTTTCTATGATGATTCGTTTATATTTTATTTTTTATTCACTGCGGAGTGCATCTGTGTGTCACCATTTTCCATCTTTTATTTTTTTTCCACCTCAGTTGTATTCCTGAAATCTTTACAGGCCCCTCGTTACCTACGTATTGCGTATTATTGCGTTGTGACACGTATTGTCTCTGGATCTTCTATGCGCCGGGGCGGCCTTCAAATAAAAGCTTGCGTCGTGGGTTTTGTGAAATTGGTACCACTTTGCAAAGATGTCCACTGTTCTGCGTCAAACAACTTGTTTTTACCGTGTGTGTGACAAGCTGTTCCACAAAACCATATTCTACTCAACCCCGTGCACTACACAAAGATTCCACTTTTTCTCTATCGTCTTCAATCACCAAATCTAAATACTAATTTCCGTACCCCCGGACAATGGTATAGAATGTACAAATTCTAAATTATCCGATGAGTTATATGACCTAGCCTCTGATACTCACAGTTGTTAGCATGAACAGCGCCATGCCACCGATTTCGTACGGTACTGTTGCGCTCCGCTATTTTTAATCCTTTACAATGCCAAATATGTTGGTGCACACTAAACACTGTGTACTTTATTCCCTTGCTCAATACCAATACCATATCTCGTTTCTTTTAGTTGAAAGGCGAATGTATCACGTGATTCATTTCGGCACGTTACTCGACCGCGTTTTCGCCTGAGGTTGATAAACAGCTGCACAATGATGATCAATATGGATGCAAGAGAAGAAGATAAATAAAAACATTCATATTTGTAACTCAGTAGTAGTTCATTTGATGGAAAAGAACTCTATTTCGATTACTCCTAAGTAGCACAATAATATGGATTCTACGTAAAATCTCGTCTCCTTTATCATTGAATCACCGAAGTCGGATCACTCGATACCTCGTGCACGGAAAAACGGATCGTAGTGCTCCCACGCTCCAATCACATGCTTCTATGATTAGCTGGTCTTGGTCTTCTGAACTAACAGAATTAAATCAGGAAGTATTGGGAATTGTTACTCTAATTTACCGCGCCAATATAGCTTAGCAAGACAGCTGATGAAAATGGGAATACTATTTTGAGGGAAGAGCATCATTTTTGAGGGCGGGTCACATACTGAATGCAAAGGAAAACCAGTTCTGCTTGATTCCCGTGTAACTAACTTGCTGGCTGCATTCAGTTATCATGTTATTCACCAGGATTTATAGGATCAAACACCGTTTCTGTCACTGCCCCATGCTAGGCAGTTTCTTTCGTAGACTTCAATAGACATTTGTTAGGCTCATTCCTAGCACAATGTTATGAGGGTTATGCGGTAGATGCAATACCTTCTATCACATTGGCTGTCTTGCCCGTTGTGGTATGCATTTTTCACTTTGATGTCCTTTATTTACCCGTGGTCCCAGAACCCGGGAAAACCGCTCTGTACGGGAGATGAACCCCCATATGTAGTAAATAGTAGTACGGTTACTTTTCACGCAGCATTCACCTGTGCCATGGTTGTATGTACGTCCTATGGAAAATCCAGGAGGCGCTTAGAATGTTCTTTGTACTGAAATCCCATGAGAACTGATGATAATGATGATGATGATGATCATCATCATCAGTGAAACGAAAGTGGAGTCAATTTCCCTCATTTTATTGGCATCCAAATGTTTTTCTTCAGCCAGGCTGACAAGGTCATTAAGGCATAAATGATGGATTGTCTGCAGCTATCATTATCATTTACCTGTTTCACATTGTTACAAGGTTTGGAACCAATGGTCATAAGTTCCAAAAGCTTTCTAAAAGGAAACCTTTGTTTTTTGCTAGCAAATTGCAGTAGAAAGGTGTTATCAGCTTATTTCGAAATGAAACAATTAAATTAAACTGCACTCAAATGTTCCTCTTCCCATGCACTGCAAATCGTTTGTGGAAAGTTGATTTATACAGGCTTTTGCTCTTTGTGCACTCCGTTCTTTCTATCCCCAGTTAAAGCGAAAGGTATTGAAAAATTGGTCACCACACACAAATGTGTATAGTGTCAGCCCCAGATCGACCGTGCCAACACTTTAAGGCCAACCGAACAGCCCATAAATCTAACTTTCTCTTTACTCATATCTGATTGGAGTATTGCAGTTCCCATCCGGTGACGTGTGCTGAGTGCATTTTTACAGAACACGCACCCGTATGCGCACGCATATAAGTACAAAGCGGTTGCTTGGCTGCGCTGTGCACTCACTTTGCAAATCCCACAAAATAGGGAATATTTACTGCGAAGGTAACGTTCCTGTTGTCTGGTCACTTCGTTCCATGGCGCCTTCCACGAACAGGAGTCCACTGATGGTAATCCATCCACGTAAAGACCTGGTATGGCGAGTAAGATAGAAATAGAAAAACAAACACTTTTAGACGGTAAACTCTAATCAAAATCTTGTTTACCCAGTTTTAAATTTGAAAGAGATTTGATACCTGATGCCTGTGGACGGCGACTTGAACAAGTCTGTTCACTGGAATGATAGCAATAAAAATGAACCCTACCGAACTGCGCCCATTTCAGTAAAAGTGCATATTTTGACAAGGAAGTTGAGCTACATGACTTAAATCAATCAATTCATGTCCCGAAGTGACTAAAGCAATGCCATGGTTAAAATTAAGCAATCAATGAGGGTCAGTTTTTCCTTAAACGTACATTCCAATAGCATATCTTGATTGGAAAACTGAGTAACGGTTAATTAACGCGAGTTGCATAGATTGCTCGTATTTTGTATGATCACCGAATCAATCTAATGGTTATTGATGTTTGCTGATTGTGGGTTTGTGCGATACACAAAATGAATCATTCTTATTAGAAGCACAACTGGTTTTGTTGTTCACTTGTGATAAAAAGCATCGTGATGACGGGGTGGATGGATGGGAACCAAGCCCTCCCCCCCCCTTCCACGTAAATTACAGATAACCACCCCGAATATGACGAACAGATGGCAAATTTCGCTTTGAGAGTTGATCTGTTATCCAGGAAAGTACAACAATCATCTTAGATATCAAGAATACTGAGGATCAATATTTCCTGAACCAAAGCAAACTGAATATTCTGTACAAGGAATACTGCAGATAGGTGTCCACATAGCTCGACTGGAATGTTCTTGATATGTAGCATTCCTGGTTTTGGAGTGATGAGTGTACAGTTTACTATAGGGACAAGGGACCGATTGTTGTTGGAAGCTTTCTGCACAGCTGTTCGATATTATACTATCCGGTTTCCTTAGCCCAGCTCACAATCCAACTACAACTGAGGAGGCAAAAGCGAATATTGCCAAAAATCGCTGATCGCCGTACATTCATTGGAGAAGCAAACAATGCTTCATTCATTGATTAGTTACACGGATAATAAAGTCCCTCTAGGTGAACGACTCTGAGGAAGTTTACACAAGGCTGGATTATCGATTGTCAACGTGAGCCAGTTTCGGCAAAGTCGCGCTGTTTGATTATCCCTTTAACAATCGGTTGGATACTGCAGTCGGTCCCATCCGTGTTGCCTCATACAGCAAAGACATGGTCTAGACTATATCAGCAAAAAACCCCGACTACCCTGGTTCTGTTTCATAGACACAGCTTGTTATGTTACAATAAGAAGATAGAACAGAGACAGACTGTAGTTATTCTTTGGGGCACAGTGGTCTTGTTGATTTTTGATTATTGAAGAAAACAGCCAACCGCACTATTTAGCATACTACTCACAGATGTGACTAGCACCTAACAACAGGAGCAGGCTACTGGAATTCAACAAGTTCTTTCGAATTCAAAAATGGGTTTACCAGAATAAGGTGGGCTGAAACGCTCTGGTGATTCTGGCACCAGACTCTTGTATTCACTCGTGGTTAGCATTTGCTCCCATCGGTCTCCGTACACACGATTTGACTCCAGTAATGGAACTCCAAGTCTCCAAAGGACAAACCTGTTATAGGACCACACTGGTATCCTCATAAATACATACATTCCTTGGGGAAACAAATTTTTCCCTGTTACGTCATATTGAATAAGATTAGAGATGATTATTCCATCTATTCTATAGAAGTAGGGCATTTAGAGAGAGACGTACTGGTCTGAACCCGAGATAGAAGCTGTAAATAAATCGCTCTTCTACTCTCCCCCACTCTAATTTGTTGTAGTATTCCAATTATCATCATATTTAGCGGATAGAACATCAGATTCAAGATGAAAGGCAAATTTTAGATCTCACCAGACAAACCTTTTCCACTCAGTGTGAGGTTATTTCCCCGTTACGGTTGTAAAGAGCAGGGGGCTGCATGATGTCGCCAGATGGAGACAAACAACAGGCATGCATAATTTTAAGAGATTGTTAAAAACAACAGAAATGTTCTTTAGAGTTTATCCAGTAGAACAAACAGATGAACAGTTTATTCTTTTCAGTGATCTGATATTTCACAAAACAGTAACGCGGCGCCCATAAAGCATTGGTCCATGGAACTATTCATCAACGAACGCGCGAGGATATCAGGATATCCTAGTTGACAAGAAGATTATAATAGTTTGAAGGAGTGACGTAATTCCAACCGAAATCAATGGGTAGGTATTCCATTTCACTTAGAACTTTAATAAAGTTGGTGCACGCGGTTGTTTGAAATTAATCATGGAAATTGTCATAAATAAAGGTGATACATGTATCATCACTCCGTGTAATCCGTGTGTGTATTCCTGTCTGCATGTGTAACCGGAGAACGAGCCCGGGGTCAGGTGAATCAATTTAGCGTGAGAAGAAGACGTGATGTGAGGTTGGGAGGAGTAGAGTAGCACTGAGCACCTTTTAGACCCATTATCCCGGACTGTCAAAAACAAAACTGACAACCGAACAGACACACGGAATAACGGAAAGGACTCAGCGTTTGTCCCCAAATCCGGATTTTGTCTGCTAGTAAAATGTGTGTGCTCGCTTGGACGGAAATCGAAACCATTTTCGCGCATTTTCCTCAATCCTGATTGCGAGAATGGAATCAACGATTTGCTAGATATTCCGAGGTAATCAACTTGAACCTTCAACCTTTTTTCATTCCTCACCCAACCCGCTTATATCTGAGCTACTAGTCTCCTGATGAGTGATAATATTAACTGGCTTAAAGCAACCCCTTAAGATTACAAGTCACTAAAACACGGTTTCAAACTGAAATAAATCCACGGAAATCAAAAAAGTAAACGTTTAAAACAAGATAAAATGAACAAACCGTTGTATAGAGACGTTTAGCAATTATGGGCAAAACATGTATATGTTCACTAGTTATCTTACTTATCGGTTTTGTCCGCTTCGGAATCCGAGCAGATTGAGAGTGATTGTCTCATTAAAATGCATGTCTGTCTTTTTTACTTTCTTTTTATTTTATTGAATATGCAAATATACAATCAACATTTAGGAAGGGGGGCCGCGGCCTTACAAAGGCTGCCTGGGAAGACGGGCGGCGGTGGAGCTGTTCGATCCCGAGACTCTGAGGTCACAATTTGGTGACTTCATCACTTGGCCACCACCGCCATGCTGTGTGTTCCGTAGTCAGTAATTCAAGTCATCTACTTTAGTTAGGTTAGACAAAATTAATTTATGATTGTTTTTAAAGAATTATCCTTCGTTTGTCTTTTCGTCCGGATAATAGTGATCAACTATAGTCGATTTCCTGAGTTATCCAAACGAATTCAGTTATCTCCTGAAGAAAAATAAACTGATCACTGACTGAAATCCCCCACGTGCGTGTTCGTGCGCGAATCCTCAAATCGCTGCCAGTTTCATTCACCACACACAACTGGCGTTCTGGAAGATTTCACACACCGTGACGATGTGGTGTAGTAGTAGAATCGAGTGCACAACTCAACGCTAAGCATCCTTCTATTTGTTAGTCCGAAATCACAAATTTGAATTTAAATTGATCGGGAACTCGATCCAGCTGGTCTAAATCTACATGTTGATGAACAGTTTCGTGTATATATATATAGCATCATGGTCCTAACTATGGTGCCGTTTACTGAGTTAATCTTCCGGCTTTGATAGATACATTGTGTCTATTCAGGTGTGGTTGGTTTGTGATGTTGCTATTAGAATCTAACGTCCTAATTTCCTGAAACGAAATCCGATTTCACCTGGCACAAAAATGGTCATATTGCTTGTAGTTTAAAAGTTTTCCAAACTTTAATACGTGCACTACAACAAGTGCTGATCGAATTCCCAAAGAGGCGTGTGTCACGTGCTATTTCGTTGTATCTATGAGTTGGTTCTTGTTATAAAAAAATACTGAAAACGCATATCATTGAAGTTATTCTTAATAATCTAAAACCCCCTTCAATATATTGCATGTACATCATTTTTGATCAAACGATTTACTCAGGTGAGTTTTTTCTCACACATCAAAAACCGTGAAAAGTCAACGTTTAAAAACGTTGCCGTTATATTGATAAAAAGTGTTTATTCTTATTTGTTTGTTTTCAATTATTGCAAAACAATAGCGATTTTGTAGATGTATATTTTTAAATTTTGTTCACTTATAGATGTTTCAGGATAGAAGTTTAACCAATGCACCTGCATACTTCAGATTTGGCGCTTGCGACAACCGCGATCTGTTATCGGTTTGAGTACAGATAATTGATAACTTTAGGCATGGAATTCTATGTGAGAAATAATTCCAAGTTTGTACACTTTGAGATGTCACCGATTGGTTTCACATACCAACAGTTTGTAGAACAATTTTAAGTGAATAAGTTAGAAAGAGAAATACATATCAATCAGAAAATGATTTGTACTTTTTAGTTAATGAAATAGAACATTTTATTTCGAAATGTTCCCTTCCTTGCGAATTGAAATATAACAGTCGCTTTTGAAAATAATTCACATGGTCCATGTCTCCATAGCTTCTTACCCCCTGTCATTCATGTTTAAGATTCACTCTCAATTCTCACTATATCCGACCAACCATACAGGTTTTTAGCATCAGCCTCATAGCTCAGTGGAGCTGATTCACCGGTCCGTCTGGGAGTTGAACTCCGGACTCCCGGTGTATGGATTAAGTTTGTGATCATTATGTTGACCCGTTTATCGCGGTGCTTACCAGTCGTATTCACTCATGTTTGACATGTCCTCGGGGAGAGAGTGAGAGGGCCATCTGTAGGTTTTACAGTTTAAAAGGGAGACGGACCTACCCGATTTTGTGCACGATTGAAAGTCTTTGCTTAATCTTCAGACAAGCTTAATTATACATCAAACGTGACTGTACGGTATATATTGAGCGCCACGCCTGTTATCAGTGGGTTAAGGAGTGTCCACACTACCGACGCCCATGTTCTATGCATAATTCAGTCTCCAATGGAGA